GAGAGAGAGAGAGAGAGAGAGAGAGAGAGAGAAAGAGAGAGAGAGAGAGAGCGAGAGAGCGAGAGAGAGAGAGAGCGGGAGGAGAGGAGAGTGGGGAGAGAGATAGAGAGAACAGAAAGATAGACACACAGATATCAAGACGTACAGACAAGAGGCAAATCAATGGGGAAAATGGCGATTCTTCCCGTCTTTCTTTGGTATAACCATGATGCGTGTGTGATCTAGAATACTATGAAGAAACACGTATGAGGAAATACAGTGAAACTAAAAGAGCTTCGACACTCCTGTCCAAGTCAAGATAAACCGAGACTGAAGCAACAAGTCACACTATGAGGCAGAAGATATTCGGAGACATCTTCGGCGAGCACCCAGGAACTATTCGGAAACACACTCCCGCACACAGATGCACTGCTTTGGGAGGTCAAAAGGCGTATTATTTGCTATAGATCACACATATAACCCCTCAAGCTTTCGCAAATCAATTATTTTCATGAAAATTTTAAACTTAACTGCAAAATATCACATTTTGGGTTAAAACAGGGGGGCATACCCTCTGTAACTCCACCCCACCCCCCCTCCGATTTTTTTTGCTTGGTCTAGAGGCACAAAGCATTGATTTTGATTGGTCTATATCGGAGACGTCTCCGAATAGATACTGCACACTATGACGACATCGTCGTGTTTGCCGTTGAAGGAATCTTCTCTTCCTCGGCCTCCCGCAGGTGATGAAGTGCAGGAATGTCCAATGTATAGGGCGCTGGTAGAAGGCTTTATGTACACGATGTTTTATTAAAAATTATCACACGTTTACTTTTGACTCATCATCTGCACGAACTCTGGGGAAGACAAAAAGAAAACAAAATAGTCGAGCTGAGCATACCCCTGGACAGTTATTTGGTTTGAAATTAACTGAGTAGGTTTTATTTTTAGCGCATTAAGTCGAGGGAACTGATCTCGCGGGAATTACGATATGATCTAAGATGAGTCACACTTTTTTGTTATACGTGGAAAAACTAAAAAAACAAAGCCCAAAACCACCCCCGCTCCCTCTTCAACCCCAAATAAAAAGTAACAAAACCCCCAAATAAAATGAATGAACGTATTTGTGAGGTGGACATTAATCCTACACCATGTTTTATAAAAACATTAAAATACAAGAAACAAGCCTCAGGTTTTGTGCGAAGTCCTCATGCGCAACTAAAAAATTCTCTTTATTTTTTCACTCCTTCCTTTGTATTTGGCTTAGACTAACGCTATCTATCTATCTATCTATCTATCTATCTATCTATCTATCTATCTATCTATCTATCGACTTATCTATCTATCTATCTACCTGTGTGTGTTTTACGTCCCCACTGACACAATTTTGATCATAGGAGACAGGCTTCGACCTGTCTGTCAGGGCCACCTGGGCCGAAAGGGATACAACATTCCAGCAGACAGGCCGAGATACTCAAATTGAAATTTTCTTCACACGGGAATCGAGCTCAAGTCTTTTGCGTGCGGTGGTGAAGTGTTTAACCACTACAATTTTATGCTCTTCAGTAACGATATAGAAGCGAAACGTTCTGGCCTCATTCGAAAAAAATAAAACCCAAACCCTTTAGACTCTCATGTTTTGGACAACGTCGTAATCCTCAGCCCTTCAGGACGACAGGTGCTTGATCTCGGCGTCTACTGAATGAGATATTGTTGTCCAGATTGGCAGTTGTGGCTGTCAGATAACACAGTATAATAGCCGAGACAACAAAGCCACCTTATCACAAGATTTTTATGCCCGAGTTGATTTTACCTCTCTCATTCGGATTGGTTATTTTTGTTGAAACTAGGATTTGAGATAAACGAGTCACATGTGTGATAGAACTTCCTTATAAAGCTTATATTTCTTTATCAAATGAACTTTTGTTATCCTTTATGGTTTCATAAAATCATTAAATTACTGTTTATATCAACTGCTCAAGGTAAGATTTCACCATACGTCACTTCTCAAAATGGCGCTTAACGGAGTCGTATACTAAGCAGTTGATAGCAGTTATTATGACAAAAACGTCATGCTATTTTTTTGGCAACTGTGGTTCACCGTAGCAAGTAGACTATTCGATTCTTGTGTGTGTATGGGTCGGGGAGAAAAGGGGAGGAGGGGGGGGGGGGTGATTTTTATCGAGTATGTCCGTCTTTCTGCTGGAAATTGCATCTTCTCAATTCCAAATTTTGATAAAAATAATATCAATACATAATCATTTTGTTCTCCAAAGACAACATAAAACAAAACAAGCAAACATACAAAAAATAATGATAAAATAGCATAAGACAACTTAGAATCTACGTGTTCTAAAGAACAACATAATAACATTTCTGGAATAATGGAATATGGTCAGAAATGTTTTTACAGAGCTATGTGTCTCTTTCTTACCGTCATAGTTGACCTGTCCATCTCCGTCAGAGTCCGCCTCCCGGATCATCTCTTCCACTTCCTCGTCCGTCAACTTTTCGCCCAAATTCGACATCACGTGACGTAGTTCGGCAGCAGAAATAAAACCGTTACCGTCCTTGTCGAAGACTCGGAATGCTTCGCGGATTTCTTCCTCGGAATCGGCGTCGGTCGTTTTTCGGGACATCATTGTGAGGAATTCTGGGAAGTCGATGGTGCCGTTACCTGCAAGACAGATGGTTTCACATTTTTGAAACTGTAAAATTTTATTAGACCAACTACTCCGTTACTTATGGTGTAGTGGAAAAGTAAGAACGTTCACAGAAATTGGGCATACTTTGTGTGTGTACATTTGATCAGCTGCTTGCACTGTATGCTTCATGGGAAGCTGAAAAAGTTTATATTTATGGACTGCTGGGGTAATATATAATATAGTGTAAAGCGCATAGAGCTTGCCGTCAAGCCGGGATATGCGCTATATAAATGCTATCTATTATTATTATTATTATTATTATTATTATTATTATTATTATTATTATTATTATTATTATTATTATTATTATTATTATTACTTCACACACTGCCAAAATAGAGTGAACATAAATCACTTTCTTTGAAAACATGTGCTAACACGAGCGAGTTGTCATATTTCATCAGAAAGTGTTAGCACAAAGAGTGTTGCTATTACAAAACTAAAGAAAGCAGCCATAACACGAACAGTACCTGTAATAACTACGACTATAGCAAAGTTTCAGTCCTCCAAATTCTGATAAATTGATAAAAACAAGTACATGAAGTACCCTCAGGATGGCCCATAACGACGCGATACGCAGACGAATAACAATGGAAATCATGAAGAAGACATGTCTCGCTCACCGTCAGCGTCCACCTCGTCGATCATGTCCTGCAGCTCGGCCCCTGTGAAGTTCTGTCCCTATCTCCCTCTCCCTCCCTTCATCTTCCTTCCTCCTTTCCTCCCTCTCCTCCCCCTCTCCCTCCCCCTCAACCACTCACCATCAGCGTCCACCTCGTTGATCATGTCCTGTAGCTCGGCCTCTGTGGGGTTCTGTCCCAGGGATCTCATGACTGTGCCCAGCTCTTTGGTGGTGATGGTGCCGTCGCCATCTTTGTCGAACAGGCTGAACGCCTCTTTGAACTCTGGGAAGATGAAAAACACAAGGCTATACACAGCCTAATGTGGGTAGAGAACAATACAACCCTGCTTATGGTGTTTATTCTAAACAGCAGTGTAGTCATTCATATCACAATATATACTTAAATAAAATGCCACAGGCCTTTATGTGTCTTGATTTATAGCAAAATATGTATCATGACCTGTTTTCATTTAACTCTGATCTCATACGAGGAACACTCTTATTGCCTTTCAATATGTGGCGTCGGTGGCCTAGTGGTTAGGCTACCGGACTAGTATTCGTGATATTGCTGGTTCGGGGGTTTGAGCGTCAGCTTGGTGCGATGTTGTGTCCTTGGGAAAGGCACTTTGCACGAATTTCTCATTTGGCTCGGTCCTTTCGGGGGTGCTGCCTCTAAAATAACCTACTAGTGTTGATAGGGGCGTTAAACCCATAACATTTAACCATTTTCACCTCTCCGATATGGCCTAGAGAACAGTTACAATCATGTAGAATGTTCAGTATTTTGTTCTGGACAAATTATGAAAAGATTACTTATACGGGCATATGGAACTCCTAAGCCCAACATGTTTGCTGGCCTTGCTAAGTAAAATTTATTTTCATATTTCAACCCGATCGTGGGCCCAGTAATACAGAAAACAGACCCGTGAGCCCCTGGTGTTTGGTCTGTTATCTAAAGTTGTGTCTTGTGGTACTTTGTTGAATGTATACTAGATAGAAGACAGACTCGATATCAGTTTTTCTTGGGTGGAGGAGAACTGAACAAAATGTACACAGTTTAGTAAGCTCTTCTTTTACTCTTCCGATCCAGCCGTCATCTGAATTCTATCCCTGTCGATATAGCAAAGAATGTACAGGTTAAAAGAAACCATTGCAATACTGTTGTATATATATTTACCAGCAATTTGTTCCTCTGTGAGTTGATCCCTTTTGGCCTGTTAAAGAAAAGAAAGAAAAAAACCCACTGAAAATAAGTGAATCAAATGAACCAAACATTAAGTAAGTTGGGGCTCGAAGGCGGGGGGGGGGGGGGGGGGGGTGGGGCGGGAGGTGAATGGAAAACGGATTCTGGGATGGAGACAACGACAAATCTTTGACACCAAAAGTAATCGAAATAGATGCCCGTTTAATCTTACTTTCTTTTAAAAACCAACTGCACGCCACTTTCAAGAACAAGGGTGGAACCTCTTTGTTTCCATGGCACCTCAGAGTAGAGCCATGTTCGACAAGCGTGTATACAGACTTACTTTACTCACTAACCAACAGTACTAACATCAGCAGGTAAGCAGGGTTACAACAGTTTTCAACCGGTGAAGACCTTAATTGTGAGGCCGCGTGATGGAATCAGGCTCTCATCAAAATAATTGCTTAGCAATTTTTATCAATTTTTTATTTTTAGGCTCAACACCTTTTATGTCCATTTACAAACACGTTCCTTTGAGGATTTCCACCGAAAACGTTGATTAAAGGCACAAATATAGAAATTTACAGTTTCCATGGACTCTCCAGCTTGGAATTTACCAAGCTTTGGCAGCTATTTTCTCGCTAATTTTACCTCTTAAATCAGGTGACCCCCACCTCCTTCAATCCAAAATATCTCCACTTCTTTTGAAGATGGATGGGTGATTTTTTCATTGAAAGCAAGACAAATGAACAAGCTTTAAGATGATACCAATAAGTCAATATGCCCAAAAATTGACGAGGGCCTGATTCCACCACGCTGCCTCACTTATAATGTCTTGGCTCCATAACCGACACCTGTGGTGTCGCAGTCAGGCGCTTCACCGTCGATTGGCCTTTATGGGAAGTTGTAAATGAAATTGTTAAAAATGTTATGTTATTTACTAATATTAAAAATGTATTTACACCAAATTTTAATATTTTAGTATTTTAGTGAACGTGTTGACCCAAACCGGACTGTGCAATGTGTTGTTGCGAATAGAACCAATTTTTTTTTCGCGCGCTCATATGACCTTATGCAGTTGCGAGCAACTTCAAATATTTGAAGAGGTTCATCATTTTTGGATGTTCCTTATGATCTTAATTGTGTTGATAGGTGAGTAAAACACCTTGGCTCAATTTAAAAAAAAACCCGCCTACATTGTATCAAAACAAGGGTTTGAAATTTTGATTTCTTCCGGCGGGGACAGCTCAGCTGACGATTTCACGAAAAACACAACACACTGTGTGATACACGAGGTCTGTGTATTTATTTTATCTGAGAAAGTTTGGAAACGTTGGCACTCATATCAAATTATATATAAAAACTCATGGTAGCCGAGCGGGTATAAAAATAGTGTGATACGACAGTTATGCAGAGACAAAACTGGCTCTCAGATTTCTGGGCAAATTCTTGTCGATCCTCTTCTCATATTTCAAAAGAAGATTTTAGAGGTGAAAGGAGAGGGAAGGGGTGAATGCGGGGGGGGGGGGGGGTAATATACGCATCATTTGATTATGTTAAACAAAGTAGTCAGCTTTAGCCCTTCTCTCTCTCTCTCTCTCTCTCTCTCTCTCTCTCTCTCTCTCTCTCTCTCTCTCTCTCTCTCTCGGTACTGGCCTCGGATCACAAGCTTTAACCGAAGGCTCATTCGGACTATTGTATGCTGACTTCCTGCTTTCCCCCATCTATCAGACGTTAGCTGTAACTCGAGAACGAGCGTGGGCATGCGCCTGTGTGTGTGTGTGTGAGAGAGAGAGAGAGAAAGTGTGTGTGAGAGATAGATAGATAGATAGATAGATAGATAGATAGATAGATAGATAGATAGATAGATAGATAGATAGATAGATAGATAGATAGAGAGAGAGTGAGAGAGAGAGAGAGAGAGAGAGTGAGTGAGAGAGAGAGAGAGAGAGAGAGTGAGTGAGAGAGTGAGTGAGAGAGGTGGGTGACAAAAATGGGGGTTGGGGGGACAAACTGACTCAACGTTCACAAGGAGATCGCGCAACGTCTCAAAAACAACAGAACAACGCATCAAAAACAACAGAACAACATGTCTCAAATTATGCCAGGTGTGATATCTACCACTCTGTGTTGTTGTTTCAGAGGTTTCATCTAGCTCTGATCACCTGCCTTGACTTAGAATTTATTTGTGTGTCGTGGGGCTCTAAACTTATTAAACTAAACCTAAACAAACGCTTATAGAGTTTCACAACTTTTAGGTATTTCGTTCACATTAAACAAAATGACGCACGGCACATCACCGAAGGAAAGCAAGATCAATGGAAACCAACAGGTAGTGTGGGTATTTTTCCGTGAGTAGATAGAGAGATCAAACAAAACAATTCAACGAAAATTAAAAAGCTGCCAAACAAAATGTCTACGAAGAAATTTACTAATAAAATGGAATGAATTTATTACAAATAATGAAGTGTTGGAAAGAGCTGAAATTGAAGATATCAACACAACGATAAAAAGGAGAAGATGGAGATATCTGGGACATGTTCTGAGATTGCCGAAGACGAGATTGCGCTACCAGACAATGTATTGGAAACCAACTTGAAAGAGAAAGCCGGGAAGACCAACTGGAAGCTCTAGAGGCACAAATAAGAGATGAGGCAATCACCCAGGGCCTGGATGTGCCGAAATTGAAGGACGTGGCCAGGGACAGGCAATGTCAAGCGTGGCGTCGACTGCTCTCCGCCTTATGTACCTGACGGTATAGGGAGAGAGTAAGTAGTAACAAAGATCGCACATAACGATGAACGATCTTTGATAGTAAGTAAGTAAGATAGACTTAAGCCAGTAAATTAATATTGTTTATTAAAAAAGAGGAGTTCCCACAAAAAACTCATTGTAGCACATAATATATTGCTTCAAAAAGCACGAAATGAAATATCGACACTGACACTGACAGACGCGTTTATCTCACACAACATGATATCTTTCATGAAAAATGTGAGTTATGATTTGCCTTTGAGGGGAAAGGAGAAAAAGGAAAAGGTATTAATCAGAGACAAGACTTTCATGATGAAAAATAGTTAAAATAAACTAATAAGCCACGCATAAGGCCCATATCTTTTTCAGATTAGGTAGCCTCCAAATAAGGCCAACAGGCTATTCTGCTACATTACACTAATCCTCTGCAGTGTGGAGCCATGTCTCGTGAAGTTATGGAACAATGTCTAGTTCACCTGAATAATCCTGTTCTTTAAGGCATCGTGCACCAAAAACCTGATCTATAATTATCACTTCTCCAAAAAAACAAAAACAAAAAAACCCCGAAAACAACAGCAACAACAATAACAAAAAACAGACAAAACAGACAAAACAAACAAATCAAGCAAACAAAATAGACAAAACGAAACAAAACAAACCCCAAAACAACCCCCCCCCCTTCTGCAGCATCTCAGCATAAAGACGGGAATACTTGACGTAAAGCTTCTTGGACATAAGTATTGCTTCCTTATTTTCACTAGATTTTCATCAAAAGCTTTAAAAAGAATAACGACCGAAAAAACAGCAACATCAAAGACAGACTTTAGAGCCTGACGTTATATATCATAAATAAAACAAAAATATTTACAATTACAATGATTTGTTTAATATTTCTATCTTACAAATATCTTTCTCTAGCGTCCTGTATTTGGCTTTAGTTAATAATTAGTTACGGTAGAAATATGCCCGGACGTTTGTCGTTTCTTTTCTCTTATTACTATTATTAACTTATACAAAATAATTATAGTTGTGCGTAATCTGTTGACGACCCATGAGTGCACCAGAACATTGGGTTGCACACTGCAGAAGATTGGAAGGATCCATGACAAGTGCCGTCTCCTGGAGACGCCTATGTGGACATGTCACAACGTCTAGATATCATATCTACACACTTTCCCCCGCACGTCTTGCTTCGGCGATTCTCCTTGGTAAAGGAACGAGTATTCTTGTGTCATTACGACAAACCATTAAAGTTATACGTTTTTCAAGTTAGCAAGGCTGTGAAAGACACGTCTGAAAATAGACGTTGGTTTTTTTTTTTCGAGTTAAGAACGAGTAGGGAAATTTAACACCGTATGAATAGCAACGAGGCTTGAATGTAATTTTTGGCCTTTCAAGGAGAGATAGCAGACGAGAACGTTACGGTTTCCAACGGTCGAACGGATGAAAGAAGTTTGTCGTGCAAATTGTTACGTAAATACATACATTCATCATTTGATTTATAAATAGCTCTTGAAATGAATTAGAACTGTTGTAGCAATGTTTACGCCCTTAACGATAACAATTGTAATATAGTTTAGATCTTTTAAGAGGCTGGCTGCTTCGACCCAACCCACCTGGGCCGATGGAATTAGTGCTAGCATCGTGGCAGCAAGACGTGGATACTCAGTTAAAGAATATCATGATATTCCATCAAGACCCATGACGAAAAATATCGAAGCTAGGTCTTGTGCGTGTAGATCTAACTATTGCATCATGCACAGATTCCGGTTTCAACTCCCAACTTTACTTACTAGAATCTAGGTTGCAGTTCTGTGAGAGAGAGGGAGGCAGGGAGCCAGACAGAGAGAGAG